GTCCCCGTGAATTTACTAACATAAATGCAGTAGATTCAAATAGTCTCGCTTTCCCAGTCTCAGAATCCGATACACCTCATAATATTCCCCCGATTCCTCCCCATGCTGCTACAGCTCCCGGTGGTTCTAGAAGTCATCCTCATAATCGTCGTCCTCATCCAACTTCATCTCAAGCAGAAACGGGTTCATCAACTGCTGTCGAAACCGACGATAGGTAGATATCAGACGTTTGGGTGCATTTCGATAAGTTTTACGAGACAGAAAATGGAGTTCAAGTGAAGAAAGCAACATGCAAGTATTATGGAAATATTTATAAAGCTGATTCAGGTAATGGTACTAGTACTTTAAAAAGACATGTTAATAAACATATTACTCAACATGGAAATAGAGACGTCAATCAAATTCAAATAACTAATATGGGTACTACTTAGCGTTATAATTCTTATGTATATAGGGAATAATTAGCTTTATATATTGCTGCAACTTATCAACCTATTAATATTACTGAAGATAAATATTTTGAAAGATTTATTAAAAATTCATTTTTTCCTGGATTTAAAAGTTATTCTAAAACTGCAACTAGAAATGATTTAATAAAATTGTTTGGGAAAATGAAATTAGAATTAAAAAATAAAGTACATAGTTGTCATGTTAGTGTGGCTCTAACCGCCGATATTTGGAGTAGTAGAGCTAAACAATATTATATTTGTGTGACTAGTCATTATTTTGATAACGAATGTAAATTAAATAAATCTTTATTGGGATTTAGATTAATGAATGTAGATCATAGTGGTCAACAAATTTATAATAAAATTGTTGAAGTTTTAGAAGATTATGATGTTGTTAATAAAATGATAAGTTTAACTTTAGATAATGCAAGTGCTAATAGTATAGCTATAATTTTTTTTTTAAAATTAATTTTCCTTTTTATGACAATTTGAAGTTTTTTCACCAACGTTGTGCATGTCACATTATTAATTTAATTGTGAAAAGTGGTATGAAAAAAATTAGAAATAATATTGATAGAATTAGAGATTCTTTAGCTTGGATTATTTGTAGTAATAAAAGAAATGTTGAATTTTAAAATACTTGTATAAAATCAAATATGTCTCCTAGAACTTTTGCATTAGACATGGATGTTAGATGGAATAGTACTTATTTAATGCTTGATTTATGTTTGCCTTATGCAAATTTAATTAGTTATTTTATAGTAAATAATAGAGGTCTTCATTATTTGGTAGAAAATTATTGGCATATAGCTAAAAAAATTCATTTTTTTCTTAAATTTTTTTACCAATCCACTTTACAACTTTCTGGTATGTATTATCCTACTAGTCCATTGGTAATCATACAATTATAAAAATTTCAGATTTATTTAGAAAAAACAGAAATAATGAAATTTTAGCGAGATCAATACAGGCAATGGAATTAAAATTTTAAAAATATTGGACACTCATTCATTTTCTTTATTGTTTAAGTGCTATATTTGATCATAGAATTAAAATAGCAGGTTTAAAAAATGGTTTAGACACATTAACTGAAAATTTACAAAACGAAGCATATGTCAATCAACTAGGAGAGGTAAGAGAGTGTCTAGCAGAGGTATATTTGCAATATGAAAATAGGTATGAGAACCAGCAAAAATGCGAAATACCCAGGGAAGTTGCATCAAAAGAAACAAATAAAGACTTCGACTCCTAGAGTGCACTTAATAGGCCGAAGAGGACCCGAACCCGAAGCACAACCTCCTCTTCAGAAGCACCAACAACGAATGTACTGTCCTCCATGCAGTTACAGAGTAATGAGCTTCACCAATATTTAGGAACCCCCGAAGTGTTACCAGCAGATCGATAATAAAGAGCCAACTTTGATGTCTTAGTATATTGGAAAACCAGAAAATGTATTTCTCCGGTATTATCAAGACTTGCCTTAGTTGTTTTCTCTGTTCCTGTCTCATCCGAACAAACATTTATTGCAAGTGGAAGAATTTTAAATGAAATGAGGACTAAACTTTCACAAAAAATGATTGAAGTCCTCATATGTCTTTGAGATTGAGAACGGTCGCGTCATCAGGATCAATACGAGATTGTCGACGATACTTTAATGAAATCATTTCAATTTTGTAATATAGATGATACGGATGAGAGAGGTCTTAGTCAACCCCCAAAGTAGTTGTTTTGTAAATCGTAACTTGTAAATTAATTGTTAATTATTGCACTCTTTTTTCCTTACCAAGTTTTTGTTCTATTGGGTTTTTCTTGGTAAGGTTTTTAACGAGGCAATAATTATTGTAATTTCTTATTTTATTTTTTGATAAATGAATAAATCTAATTTTTCTTATATTACAATTTCATTGCATTAAAATTTAATTAATATTTTAAATTTTAACAAAAAAAAAAATTAATTGAATTGAATTATTGATATTTGAAAAGTTAACTAAAAAGTAAAAACAATTACGCAAAATAAAAAAATAAAAAAACAAAAAAAATTATGGGCTAACCTGGCCCGGCCCGCATCAAAACCCGCCAGGTTAGGGTTGGCGGGCCCGATTGGGCTAGCCTTTTTGGCCAAGAGGCGGGCCTAACCCGACCTGCCCTTGTTGGCGAGCCGGGTTAGGCCTGGCCTGCCAATTCCTATAACTCGTAGCGGGCCGAGCTGAGCGGGTTATTTTTTCACCTTTAAAAGAGGGAATGGATGGTATGAAACTTAAGGTTTTAGATTTAGGGTTTTTATAAGGAAAAACGGGTTTTGGTTAACTAGTTTGAAATTAGCCTTAAACCATTAACCGAATCAATTTTCCGGTTTGGTCAATTTCGAAACCGAAACCGAACCAGTTATTCCAAAAAACCGATTTTTCAGACCAGTTTCCTAGTTCAGTTTGGTTTTTGGGTTTTTTTTTTTATCCCAGCCCTAATTAAAACAATGTCTTTGATTATTAAGAATTGAAATACTCTCATGATCTCATCCGCTTCTCTTCCATACAGTACATGGAGTGCTAAACCTAAGGGGCACGGTTTATTTTTGTGATAATTAATGCAGAACACTGCAGCATTTTACTCTTGTCCATTAATATGTAAGAAACGAGCCAAACAAGTATTGGACTAGCAGAAATATAGTGCCTGTTTGTTACACTTTTTTAAAAATGTTATGTTGAAAAAATATTTTAAGATGAGTTGAGTTAAATCAAATTAAATTGGATTTGAATCTAAAAATGTGTTTGGTAAAATATTTGAAAATTATATAGAGTTGGATAAAATGCTAAATAGTTGTTTGATACATTTTTTGAAAAATGTTTTTAAGACAGAATAGTTGTTTGGTACATTTTCTAAATATATTTAGATTATTTTTTTAACCTCTTACATTTGTTAATTTAGCTAAACACCTCAAAATAAAAGTTTAAAAATTAACAAAAACAACCCAACCACCCAAGAGGACAGTTGACCATCGGCTACCACCGTCGAATGACAACCGATAGTCATCGAAGCGGTGCACGATCGACTAGATTTGCCCAGTTATGGCCAAATCTTTGGTCTTAAATCTGACCATTTCTGGCTAGATCCATGGTGGATTTGGCAGGAAACAACTAGATTGGTGCGCGATCGGTTAGATCTGGGCCGATTGTGCTCTGTTCTGACAACGTCGACTGGCGATAGGGACGATGGTTGTAGGCAGACAGTGGTGGTCTTGGGTGGATTAATTTTCAGAGTGGAAGGAGAAACAGAAAAATATTTTTAGTTGAATAGAGTTAATCTAAAAGCAAGTCTCACATTTTTTTCACTTTTAGACAAAAAATCTTATTTGAGTTGGATTAATTTTTAGATTAGATTGACCAAATAAATAAACAAATACAATTCAAATAGGATCACAGAAAAAAGATTTAGAATAATGTAACAAACAAGGGCATAAATTTTCCACTTTTTATCCAATACAATACTGATAAACTATCGCGTCCAAATACCTCAAGCCTTAATTTTTGGACAAACTGGTGACTAACAAGTTATTCCCCTGATTATTCTTCCCAAAACTTAATAACATAATTTAGATTACTGTGACGAAATAAATCAAAACTAAATAAAAAAACCATTTATATAATTAATAATATTAGTAAAAAATGAAACATAAATAACTAGAAATTAAAATTGTTGATGCTTAATTTTGACACCAAAGACTCGCACGTGCAAAGTGCTAAGCTGACTTAGAAATCACGTGTGATAAGGAAACATGAAATGAGATAATTAATGAGAAACGATATTTAAAGTGGTTTGGATGCTCAAAAGCGAATCATATGTCCACTGTTATTGTATTAATGGATGGGTAAAATCAGGTCGCGGGTGGCGAGCTAAGTTATAATCTAGAGAGAGTGTGTGTGTGTGTATGTTATTTTAGACTAAGATCAGCCAATCTCGTAAATGAGAGGGGTGTCCTCTATTTATTATAGGAGAGTTCAATGTAATGATTACGAGTCTATAAGTGGGTGGGTGCCGTGCAAGTCCTTCTTTGCATCCTATTGGTTATCTGTCGAGAAATATCCTCAAATTGTATAGGGCTTGAGCAGGTGGATAATCTCTGGTCACTCGCAAGCCTAACATTCATCTGCTGCACTGACAAGAATCATATCTCTTCTGTCACTGTGTGATGTGACAGTACCTAGACGACACAAATTCTTTCTAAATCCTGATTGGCTCTTACTAACGACAGTCCACATCAGCTCTAACTTTTCAGGCATAACAAAAATCACCTTTAACAAAATAAAATCTCCACCTATTAGGCAAGAAGACTTTCTTTTGAATTAAAATAATAATAATAATAATAAGATTTTCTTTTTAATCTTTAAAAACTGGAGCCAATTTGGGCCAAGCCCAAACGGCCTAACAAGGCAATGTCGTTTTGATAATACAAGTTTCCCTAAAAATCAAACCCCAGCGACTTCTTTTTATTACCCTCACTCGTCTCCCTCGCTTTCTCTTTTCGCTGCTTGTTTCATTTCACCCATCTAAAATCTTTGAGCTAAGCAGCGTTGCTCGTTTCCCTGCAAGAACACTCAAGCCACTAAAGCTCTCGCTGAGCCGCAATGAACTGTTCAAGTAACTCTCTCTAACCTTGCCTTTGCGTTTTCTGTTAAAACGTTCATTCTCGTGATCTAATTCCGTGTTGTTTTCTGTTGTGCGTACAGTATCCGGCGAGGTGCCGGATGAGCCTGTCGTCTCCAAGAAGTCAGGTTTACTCTTCGAGAAGCGCTTAATCGAGAGACACATTTCGGTATGCATTTTTCTTTTTTCTTGTTTTCAACTTAAAGTCTAGGGTTTATGTTTCTGAGAAAGCATAAGGAAATTTAAAGAAATTGCTAGAATGTCATATGTTTACTTAAAAGCGTTTTTTCTTCTGTTAAACTATTGAAGTTTTTTTCTTTTATCATTTAGGGTTACTTGTGGTTTGGTTACTAGGAATAGTTTTTTGTTAAATTCTTTGGTTATTCAAAAAGATAAACTAGAAAAAGAAACCAATTTGGAGAATTTCACCGAGAAAATGCTTTATTCAACTGAGCGAATACAACTATTTTTCGTAGTTTAGGTTAATTTCTCACAGGGAATGCTTAGGTAGCAAGATTCTTTATTTATATCAATGGGTTCTAGTCGCACAGGACGTCATGTTTGTAATGTTAAAAGTGAATTTAATAATGAATATGAATTGTAGGACACCATTTCAGTAATATGTAATACGTGATATATAAATTTTACCATTTTTTCATCCTAACTTGCCTGGTAAGGTTACTTGGACAATACCATAGTGGTCTACATTATATAATGCATCTTTTTTGTGTTTCCTTTCCATGGAACCTAGTACTTTTATACAATTGAGAGTCTATGAGTTCTTGTCAAAATTAAAACTTTAATAAGAACAGCATTCAAAATTTTGAATGTACTTTTTGTTGCTCATGTTTACCTTTTAGTATGACAAAATAGGAGTTTCTAATTCTGTTTCTTCTGTTTTATTTGACCATATATTTGATAGAGATTTATATTGTTGTTTCTTGTGTTATTAGGATTATGGAAAATGCCCAATAACAGGAGAACCTCATACTATGGATGATATTGTTCCAATCAAAACAGGCAAAGTATGCTTAGTTGTGACATTATCATTGTTTGTGTTTAGTTGTTGAAAATTTTATTGCTTCCTTTTTTTCCTGTATCTTTGCTTGCTAATTTATAAATTCTTAATGGCTTGTCTGCAGATTGTGAAGCCCAGACCCTTAACAGCTGCTAGCATCCCTGGGATGCTAGGAATGTTCCAGAATGTATGTGTTTATGATATATTACTTTGTGCATGCACTTTTAAAGTTTCTACTTTGTTTAGAAGGTAGTATTAACCGTTCCGAAAAGAATACTGCTCTCAAATAGATGTGCTGGTCATGACCTTATCGTCGTCATTGTTTTTTTCTTGTCGTGAAAGACATAATTGATGAGTGTTCTGTTAAACTCTTCATTCAGAATGATGTGTTTTCTATATTCTATGGTCTATTGATAACATTGTAATTGGGAAATTAGGTTATGATAGTGGTGTTCTGAAAGTGCTTTCTTAATATCTAGTTGTTGGCAAAGTTGTTTTCCATGTTTGTTTTGGTTACGATTCTATATTGTTGTCATATTGATTATATAGTTTTGCATGTTAAAGCTATCTTAAGATTTTGGTCGTGCGATACCTGTTTGTGCTTTATTGTTATTGACTGTTGGATGTTTCTTATATTAATAATGGTGGTCAATGCTTAATTCTTAAAATGCCTTTCCACAGTTCATTACTGTAAAATTTGTTGATTGTGAGTTGGCTTTGTTATCATTCTCATTTTAATAGGTACTAACTTTTATATTTTTAATTCTTGATTTTCATTAGCATAGTTCTTATAGATTTTGTTATTTTTGTTATTGTAGGAATGGGATGGTTTGATGCTATCTAATTTTGCTTTGGAGCAACAACTTCATACAGCCAGACAAGAGCTTAGTCATGCCCTATACCAGGTAAGCAACTAGCTTATTTCTGCTAAAGTTTTGATTTCATAATATCTTTTGCTTTTGTGGACTATTTTTATAGTATGCGATTTACAATTCATTGATCAATGCTAGTGAAGTATGTTTGTATCGTCATTATATTTCTTCCTATTTCTTTTCATAGTAAACATAGGTTATATGGTCAATGTATGATGGAGGTAGATAGGTGAAAAAGATAAAATTTTCTTGGCTCCGTTTGGTTCACTATTCTGATACTTTTTAGAATAGTATTTTGGAAGAAGTAAATTTGAGTTGGGTTGGGTTATTTTTATGAGAAAGGTGATTGTTAATGTTTTGAGTTGAATAAAGTAGGATTGAATTTTGAGAATATTGAAACAAATGCATTTTTGCGTTTTTAGGATAGAATAGTGGAATAGGCTAGTGGGAAAATATTGAAACAAACGGAGCGCTTTTCTGGATACATGAAGAAGAGAAGAGTATAGTTGGGGTAGCACCGTGGATGTATGTTTATCTTTTATCATCTTCCTGTATGACCCCCAATATTTTATGTGGTTTTGTTTGTTAATGTAAAATTAGCATTGCGTCTCTCTGACGGTTTTGTTCAGATATCTGACAGAGTGAATGTTGTCTTTTTCAGACATTCTTGGATTGACAATTGAACAATTTTATTGAAAAAGATAGTAATGTGGCAATGTAATGATTTTACTTGTAACATTAGTATTACTTCTGTTCTAGCTTCAAGTCTGGTTGGATGGATTTTCTTTTTTTTTTTTTTTGTCTTCTTTCTTTTAGATATATGTTGTGGAACAATTTTAAACTGCCGAATGGCTGAAGGAAATAGTTTTTTTTATTTATTTATTTTTTCTGAATTTGATTGAAAGATCTATGTAGTGCTAGCTACAGAAAAGGATAATACGGTTTTTATTTGCATATTCTCTTGGTGCAGGTTCAATGCTATATCTTTTTCATTTATCTTAGAATTACACACTAACTTTTATTATTATTATTTATTTTGGCTATAACCTAGTACGTATACATTTGATAAAGGTATAACTTCTGTTGCGCTTTGGCATAACCAAATTGAATTTTGTCCCTAGCATGATGCTGCTTGTCGAGTGATTGCTAGACTTAAAAAGGAAAGAGATGAAGCAAGGGCTTTACTTGCACAGGCCGATAGGCAAATAATGCCGATGGCAGCATCAGCGTCAGTTACATCCAATGCTTCTGTCCTTACCAATGGGAAAAGAGGTTCTTTCTCTGTATATTTTTAAGTTTACTTCTCTTTCTATTTGTTTCATAATTTCCTTTTACTTATTTAATGTCTTATTTGAGATCATAGTTATTGAAAGTGAGGATTTGGGCCCTGGTGGGAAGAAATTACGTCCTGGAATTTCGTCTAGCATTATTACTAAGCTAACAGATTGTAATGCAACTCTTTCGCAGCAGCGGAAAAAACGACAGGTACTTTTCATGTTGATCTAGAACTACATATTTGTTTTGACATCAATACTTACAGAATTGTTATAGGTTATTCTTTCTTTGATTATTTTTGTATATACCCGTTCCATTTGTACTGCTTAGTACATTTTAGAAATGGAAGTAGTTTGAAGTTCAGTTAATAATTGTTTTTGTTGGTTTTTTTTTTTTATGTTTTTGTTGGTTTTTTTTTTTTTTTTTTTTTTGTGGTTTCTTTTCAGATTCCTCCAACTTTGGCTCCTGCTGATGCTTTGGAGAGGTATACCCAGCTTTCTAGTCATCCCCTTCACAAAACAAACAAACCTGGCATTGTTTCTATTGATATCCATTACCCCAAGGTATGGCTTTTCCACAAATTAATTGTATTTGTCAATCTATATTTGTTATATCTAATATAACTTGTACATGGTAGTAATCTAGCCTGTATCTTATCAAGGTAGATGTTGATTTCTTATTAAATATTTATGGCAATTTAACTCAGGCCTAAAATTAATTGTGTACTTTGTACTTTGGCTTAAGTATTGTGTTGCCAGGATTGCTCATAAATAACCCTACATGACATATGAATTAATTGAGAATTTAGAAGGGATGAGATTTAATATTCTAATTGTAAATCTTTCTCTTGGAAACTGGCTTTTGTGATGATATTGAACTTTTTAAGTGGGTATAGCCAAGAAAAAAACTGAGCTAATTTTTAATTGTATATAGATTATGGCAAGCAGGTATTTGATAGTATGGATTGAAAGATTCAATCACAATTGCAATGGGAAAATGAAGATTCAGTTGAATAATAACAAACAGAAAAGTTATTAAGGATTGTTTGTTACATTAACTTTTAACTTCATTTTAGGAGTATCATCAGCTACCACGGCCTTGGATGGTGGCATGGTTTCTGGACACCATCTTAATGGAAATATGCAATGGTTAATGCAGTTTAACTCAGGCCTAAAATTAATTCTGCTCTTTGTACTTTGGCTAAAGTATTGGGTTGCCAGGATTGCTCATAAATAACCCTACATGGCATATGAATAAAATGAGAATTTAGAAGGGATAGAGATGTAATATTCTAATTGTAAATCTTTCTCTTGGAAACTGTCTTTTGTGATAATATTGAATTTTTTAATTGGGTATAGCCAAGAAAAAAACTTAGCTAATTTTTACTTGTATATAGATTATGGCAAGCAGGTATTTGATAGTATGGATTGACAGATTCAATTACAATTGCGATGGGAAACTAAAGATTCAGTTGAATAATAACAAACAGAAAAGTTATTAAGGATTGTTTGGTACATGAACTTCTAACTTCACTCAAGAGTTTCAATATCAGCTACCACGGCCTTGGATGGTGGCATAGTTTCTGTACACCATCTTAATGGAAATATGCAATGGTTAATGCAATGTGTGTTGGACATGTTGTCCCACCTTGTACCATACAAGAGTCCATTTAACTTAATGCTAATCCATGGCTAGTAGATGGCAAAATTATAGGACATGGCCTTGTTTGGTACTTTGAAAATAATGAATGAGCTAAAAGGTGCAAATAAATGACTCGTTTAAAGTCTTACTTCTCTGGTTTAAGCTTTTTAGTTATTATTTATTTCTTTTAACTTCACTAAAGAGTATCAATATCAGTTACCACAGCCTTGGATGGTGGCATGGTTTTTGGACACCATCTTAATGGAAATATGCAATGGTTAATGCAATGTGTGTTGGACATGGTGACCCACCCCGTAACATACAAGAGTCCATTTAACTTAATGCTAATCCATGGGCTACTAGATGGCAAAATTATAGGATATGGCCTTGTTTGGTGCTTTGAAAATAATGAATGAGCCAAATGGTGCAAATAAATGACTTTTTTTAAGTCTTACTTCTCTGGTTTAAGCTTTTTAGTTATTATTTATCTCTTTTTCATGGTTTGCAGGATGTCATTGCAACTGGAGGGGTTGATTCAAATGCTGTACTTTTTGACCGATCATCAGGACAGCTCTTATCTACTCTGAGTGGTCACTCAAAGAAGGTTATTTTTCTTTTCTTTTTGTTGTTTATTAATTTCATCATTATTTTTTATTTCCATTTAAATTTCAGGGATTAATACTCCTTTCTTCGTTAGGTTACTAGTGTCAAATTTGTTGCTGAAGGTGATCAATTATTAACATGCTCAGCAGATAAGGCAAGTCATGTTCAACTTTATAGGCCTCAATTTCATGTTTATGGTATAATTCTGGTGTTCTTGATTTATAGTATTTTATTCTACTAAAGTATTATACTACGTGAATCTAAATTAGTTGCTTCTTTTATTAAAAATAAAAAATCATTGACCAAAAAGATATGAAGGGAGATGGTACAAGCTATTCGAGTTTAACGTGGCAGCTTTTATTGTTTTTGTTATTCTTATTATATAAAGGATTGCTAATTACTATGCTGGACTTTTGAGCTTTAAACTTAAATAATTTATACGAGATTGGAAGCTGTTAAGACTTAAGATTGTAAGCTAGGGGTCATGGTTAAGGACTGGAATACAGGCCCTGCAGCTTTTGGAATCTTTGGTTGCAATTTCTCAAGTCATAACTGAAGTATTTGTCAAGGAGCAGCTGTACTGAATTGTTTTGATTAATGATATGCATGTCACTATACTGTACTAGTGCATTTTCGAATAATTCAAGTAGGAACCTTCTGCTTTGTTACGCTATGCAATTTGGGGTAAATGTATTTTAAAATAAGCCTCATTTCCAATAGTTATGTCGGCTACAGAATCCACTGTCTCCATTTCATCCTCCATTGAATTTAGTTAAGATGTGAAAATGTGCTAAAAAATGGTCACTGCCTCATATTGGATTTTCTATTGATCATTCTGCTATATTGATTTATTTTCAGATGCAGTGTTGTGCTACTCCATTGCCAAGATTGTGATGTTAGTTTGTTTGGGTTTGCTTTGATTTTAGCTTCCCTCTAGAATTAATTATGTTTCTTAATGTTGTAGACGGTTCGCTTGTGGCAAGGCTCTGAAGATGGAAATTATGATTGTAGGCACATCATGAAAGATCATACTGCAGAGGTACATGTGTTTCTTCTATCATTTTTAATGGTGTTTGGTAACAATTGACTGCTATAGTGTGCCCATATGATTTTTCAGTTTCCTAAAATTCTTGTGCTGGTAGTTTGAGCTTTGAAACTGGTTTCAAATGCATTTCTGTTTCAAGAAATTCAAGCATGTATTGACCTTTATTTATTGAATTGACTGTTGCTTTGTTTGAAAACAACTCAAGGACTGTTATAAATTGGGCCTCTTGAGGGAGGGATATTTTAGAAGGATTTTTGTAGCTATATCATTTGTTGATGTTGAGGGTAAAGTGACAAACACATTGAGACAGCCTAGCGCACAAGTAATCTAAACACTTGAGGCTCTTTATATAAAAAATGACTGAAGGCATTGATAAATTCCATGTAGTGTGAAATTGATTTTTTTTTTCAGCAGTGCCTTGTATTCTAATTAAGATAAAGAATTATCTTAGCAATATTGATTAAGTTCTCTATTTGATATTTATGGTATATTTTGCTGGGCTGTTTATATATATTTATTAGTCACACAGTGTATAAGATGCGTTTGGCCTTCTATACTGAGTTTTTTGGCAATTTAAGCTTTAGCTTTTAATTTCTTCCTGAAAATGTTTGTATTAAGACTGGGGATTATTTTTTCTGGGTCCAAGCCAAACAGTTGGAAAATTTTGGATGTTGTGGATTTTTGCAAAGTTGGGTTCTGTAGGAGCCTCTCACTATCATATCTTCTTATCCAACAATATATTTTGTAAATGCTGATTTTAAACAATTGAAGATTAGTGCAGTTAGAGTTGGATTTTATCTAATTTATGCTGTCATGGGTACTAAAAATCGCTATCATATTCAATATAAATATTTACAAACTACTGTGATCCAAAAAGCGCAGCTATCAAGTACCTTGAAATACAATTCAGAGTTCATTAAATATTTTGGAACTGTTGCAACTACTATGCACTTGAGTGGGTTATTTTTTTTATATATCATAAAATATTTTGTATCCTTGATGAATGGTTTGTGAAGGCTTTGTGACTTAGGGTGAAATTAATCGAATTTATTTGCTTTTTTGGCTCATGGTGCAATATTTTAATAGATAAAATGATGTCAGGTGCAAGCTGTAACTGTCCATGCCACAAATGACTACTTTGTGACTGCTTCTCTTGATGGCACATGGTGCTTCTACGATATTTCCTCTGGCTTATGCTTGACACAGGTCCCAAACTCTTTCTTTTTCGCAGTTGATAGATGGAAGCTATGTTTATGTTTGAATTTTTTTTTTTTTTTTCTGGTATTTTATATTATTATGAGTGTGAAATGAAAAACTGACGGTACATATTTTATTTCATAGATTGGTGTTGAATCATATATTTGGGCTTGATGTTATAAGATTACTTTTTCTTAACACTTTTCTTCTAAGAAGTGAATAGGAGAGAAGAGGAAAAAAGTTATCGAAAAAGATTGAGGTCCATTGAGGGGAGAGAAACAATTTATTTTCTTAGTAGAAACATAAAATGAAAATAGGGATAAATATATGAGTAATGTTACACCCACAACCTCTTTTCACAACTCTGACGTAACAACTCGCAATTAGTCAGTTGTAATTTATCTTGTGGGACTCATTTGGGACTCATTTTGAGCTGACTAATTGTAAGTTGTCACGTTGGGGTTGTGAGAGGAAGTTTGTGAGAAGAGGTTGTAGGTATAACATTTTCCTAAATATGTTTACAATTAACTCATGTATGAGTATAGGGGTAAATTTTGATATAAAAATTTTTTTACCCTTCTCTAAAATTTTGAAATTAGCATTGCTCTCTCTTTCTTTCTTTTTTTATTCTCTTAACAGAAACCCAAACATAAAGGAAGGTGAAGCTTCTTATATTCTCTCTTTTCACCTTGTGGCTTCTACCCTTCTCCTGTTTTCCTACCCTTCTACTAGACAGGGTTATCAAGAAAAATGAGTTTTTTGTTTATGTAAAATATCTGCATTACTCCTGCACTGATCAAATAATGTTTAGTTCTGCAGGTTGCAGACAACTCAGGGCCTGAGGGCAGACCTGAGGGTTATACATCTGCTGCTTTTCATCCTGATGGTCTCATCCTTGGAACAGGCACCTCAGAAGCTCTTGTTAAGATTTGGGATGTGAAAAGTCAGGTACAAAATTATTTGAAGCAACCATTAACTATTGAATTTATTTTTTGTCCACTTATTTGTTCTATTGTTTTACAGGCAAATGTTGCAAAATTTGACGGACATGTAGGGGCAGTTACTGCAATATCTTTCTCTGAAAATGGATACTACCTTGCGGTAGGTGTTTCTTTTTTAAAATGTGGTGGATTTGGGATCTGACATGGCATGACTTGACTAATACGTTTTGAGCTGGACAGACTGCAGCTCATGATGGTGTGAAGTTGTGGGATCTGCGCAAGTTGAAGAACTTCCGGTCATTTGAATTTAATGATTCAGATACGCCAACAAATTCTGGTATGAAATTCTTGATTTCTGATCCTTTGTAGCCAAATTTAGAAATCTGTCCTTTTGTTGCTACTCTTTGTTCTGGCGCAAATTTTTATTTTTTATTTTTTTTCTGCTCTGGACAAAAGATAACTAAATTTTATTCTTTCTGTATGAACTAATTGGGATAATGTTGAAGCATCCTTTTTTAATGGATGTTTGGTTGTTTCTTCTTCATATCCTTCTCCTTCTTTGAGGCGTTGGGACTAAAATTTATGACTAATCCATGTTGTCTCCCTTTTCTTAATTAGTATCATTTGCTAAGTCATGGATACAGAGGAAGCCTCTTCTCTTTTTCTCAATTACTCTTTTCTGACTTCTGTTATGAAGCTACATGTAATAGAACTCTTATTCTGGTTCTTGCAGTGGATTTCGACCATAGTGGGTCTTACCTTGCAATTGCAGGCGCAGATATTAGGTGAGTGTTGAATATATTTTGATTGAATTGGATTAGTAGTCTTGTATATCTACTGTATACAGTGCTTCTAATATAAACACGAGCAAACAATTTCCATTTTTTTACGTTATTGTTGAAATCACAATAGCAACATTTCAGAAAGTTGACACTTTATGTAGGATTTTTTTTGAACTGATTATGTTTTGTGTTTCTACAGAATCCACCAAGTTGCCAGTGTTAAAGCAGATTGGAATTGTATCAAAACCTTTCCTGATTTGTCTGGCACAGGTTCAGCTTCTTCTCTACCATTTGTCTACTTGTATTAGTGGCCTCCAATATGTTGTTAGTAGTCTTTGAATTTAATGCATACAATGGATCTGTTACAATTGCAGGTAAGGCTACTTGCGTGAAATTTGGTCCAGATGCGAAATACATAGCTGTAGGATCAATGGATCGAAACCTCCGCTTTTTTGGGCTGCCTAGTGATGATGGCCCATCGGAGTCATAAATTATGTTCAAGCTGCCGCTATCTTGGAAGTATGGGTTACCATTTTTTTTCACAGCTACTGGTGGAGGTGGTATAACCTGGAATTCGTGATGTTGACTTCGTACTGTGTTGACAATGGAGCAAGGATGCAAAGCATTTGACATTGTGCATGCTGTCGCAGTGCGGTGTATTCATATTAGATTCAAGAGGACCCCAAAAAAGAAAAAAGGAAAAAAAAGGTGAAACTTGTTAGGTCCCAATCATTTTGTATTCTCTATTGTTCTGAAATTTCCAAACCATTCAATCTGCTTTGGTCTGTTGCTATCATTAATTGTTAAATCTCTATGGTGAGAGTTTTCGTTAACTGGAAGAATGTTGGGAATTTTGTAAGGCGGTTATACTTTTACAATACATTTAATTTCAGATTGAGTAGGCAAGGTGAAGTTGATTATGTTGGTTTGATAACCAATAATGCAGTAGTGATTTATGAGCAAACCCAGGCTTGTGCGATAGGCATAATCCTCGTATGGATTATACCAAACTTGAATACCTTCGACCTTAAGGGGTTGACCTTAGTTTAATGGTCAAGAAAGTTAACTTTTTTTTTTTTTTAGTTTAAATTTTGGAGTCATTTATTATAATAATATTATGACTTATTTGGTCTTTTGGATTTATAGGGTGTTCAATGCAATGTTTTAAATTTTAATAACCAATCTAGGGTGAAACTTGGCAAAGTTGTCTGGTCTCGGGTTGATTGGTTTAATCACTTTGATCAGTTGGTCAAATCGAGTGATAAAACTTTTAAAATTAAGTAAATGCACTCTTAAAAATTTGTTAAGTCTTTATAGGTTTAAAATTTAGCAAACACATCTAAGATGCAAATCGATCGGTGATTGGTTGGTGGTGGTGACACCTTAAATGTAATCTCAATCATCCTTTGAGCCCATTTTCTAGAAAATATATCCAAGATCTAGTTGAAATCGATTTGATTTTGGCCAGATCTGATAGATCGGTGTCGGCCCTAGCATCGACAATCCTCCTTATCATCTTGAAAATACTCCTCTCTTCCTCTTAACAAAAATCCACCTCACCCCACCCCCATTAGCCTTGCCAATTGCCTGTAAAAACCAATTGTTGTCGTCGCCAATTGTTTTCGATTTTCGATCGATTCACTTATCGGAAATCAACTATGTCGCCACCATTGTTCTCATTGGCACTTTTCTCTTCAAAAGTCCCAATATCCAAACCTATAATTGTTTGCTAATCATCATTATTCTAAGGTTTTAGGTGAATAGGAAAAATGTTAACTCGGCCCTGTGAAGCTCCTGAATCTCGGTTAAACCGACTGAACCGGGTCGAGTTTTAAAATAGTGGTTCAATACGGCAATACCTTCTAACGAATGAAGACAAGATAATTTTTTTAAAATACTATCTTTATTAATCACTCAATACTCGACAGATGAAGAGAATATATTATTGATTTGTCACTTTATCGCCTCTATATATGTAAAGAGAGTGAGTTTAGTTAAAAAAAATATATATTTGGCATTTTTCTTACCAAATTTGAAAATTCTACAAGGAAAATGTGAGACTCATATTTTTTGGCACTACACTGGTGTCCTCTTGGAAAGTACAAAAAGACCTTGGAATTGTGACCTTAACAAGTAACTCATCTTGTACGGGAGGCAAATAACTTTGTGTAATATTTAATTCAATACCAGTAACTTAAAAAAAAAAAAAAAATTAGTAGCCAATTAGAGGCAGTATTTCTTTTTGTGGGACACATTCCAAGAAAAAATAAAGTATCAGATGGCTAGAACAAGAGCCCTTTCTAAGAAATTATTGCCCTGAACAAACTTACACTATGATTCTATAATATAGCATTACAATTTAAACTAAATAATTTACCAAAATGGCAATCGAATATCAATTACGTGATCTTGACCAGACCTACCTTAATGATAGCAGAGGCCACAAGGGCAAGACCATGAATAAAATAATAAAAAACCATACATATTCCACACAAGCATCTCAACCTTGCGTCAAGTTATAGGTAATTAGATACATGCGAAAACCCCCAAAGCTGCAAATGAAAGACAATATTAGATTACTATAAAACTACAAATTTCAATTTGAGAACACGATTATTTGAAAGACATGCAAGCATAGATTTTCATGGAATAATTCGGTTCAGCTGATCCCTAGTTCCCAAAAACTGTGGAATTTTTCCGCCCATTATATGACATTATTATGCAATCCTACTCTCATGATCACCCATCAAATCCACTAGGTCAACAAAATTAAAAAAAAAACAAATCTATTCACCACTACTTCGACAAAACCAAGTTTAGTGCATAAACTATTCAGAATACACTTAACCTACTATGGTCATCAATAATAAAAACAAACATGCCAAAAGGAGGACCATAGATTGTGATATTCATGACCATAGGTTCCCATCTTAGAAAAGTGCAAAATAACTGGAGAGGGCAGAGAAGACAAACCCTACTTAGAACTAAGAGATGATTAAAAATGTGGGAGATAAGTAGATAACCACTTCTAGGGTTTTGAGAAGAGAGCTGGTAGCAGCCTATGTTTCCAAAATTCACTTGAGATGCTTGACAAAATCAGATAAACTCTAAAATCATCACCTTAATTATATTCTAGAAAAAGAAAGATGAAAGAAGAAAACAAAGACGAATAAGAAAAGGTAACTTCATAAAAATGTTTAAAGGACTGTAAACTAACCTCAACATTCTTTAACTCAAACTCCGGGTTATGAGCCAAGCATAAATTCCCAAATGTATCACAAGGTCCACTAGTTCCAGTTAACCTTTTCAAAGTGAATATAGTAATTAAGTCAAAGGAATCTATAAGAACGCGTCTTAGAAACTAGAGAGGTAGAGAAAACTTCATACGGAAACTTAGAAGAGTGACTTACAGATCTCCATCCAAGCATAAAGCAAAGTTGCCACCTCCACCAAGTGCCAGAAATTCGTTCATACACATATAATAATATCTGTTGGCACCTATTTACACAAATAAGACACAGCATAAGGTTAAACCATGTGCATGACCTTTTTTAATGCCCTTCTCGATAATTAGTCAGTTTTCTGATTCCATTACAAAGAAGATTTTCCATTCTATTGTCACAGTAATATCAGGTGGCCAGGAGGGTAATACAACCTACACACCAATATTTGAATAGGAACCCTGACTACCATTACGTATCCTGACCCCCTGTACTCTTAACAATCAGAAATAACTAGCTATATCTTTCTCAAGCTTCACAAACATGTTAAACTGACTTTCCAAAAAGCTATACACTGAATGATAAGATCCACATTCGCCAAAGTGTCAACCAAAAGGTGGGTGCCAGATGAGGGTCTCAAAGTGCCTAAGAAGGCATGGAAACCATTGACATCTTAGAGCACTATACAAAACAAGTGGCCACATCTTCTCAGAAGTTAGGGTCAAGCTTTTTTATTTCACTATCCCTAAACCCAGCCCCCAACCTTGGTTGCATGGAATTACATTCTAAGTCTTCTTGTACAACCATATGAGGTTTTTCTAGCTAGATTTACCAGTAGCCACAAAAGTTGTGGTCAAGCCAGCAGCAAAATATTTGAGTTCCACAAACTACCAAAATGGTACAAATGGAGTATTTTGAGGTATGTGCTTAACCAGTTATCTATTTTTCCTAATCCAGTATTTGTTTGCTAACCTTTAGAGAAAGAATATGATGCAAATAAATACATGAAAATTCTTACCTGTAGGTCTAAAGAGCCTAGGTTGACCATATATCGTGGTGAATACAAAAGATTGGTTTGTGCCCTATCACCAAGGAAAAAAAAAGGTAAAAATGTTTGACGAGATTATAATTTAATATGTAAGAGGAACACACAACAGGCAAAAATTCCAAAGTGAAAACCACTTTATTAACAATAAATGTAACATATAATAGATTCAAACTTAAGAGAATATTAACATACTTGATATTTTCTCTTTGGGGTGGGTTTCAAGGGGCACTCTAGCATCCCACCAAACACAGCACCTTTCATGTCTCCTACAATCTAGAAGTTGTACACCAAAATGCACATGATCTCCAGTTAGTAACAAACTTACTAAAGACCAAATAATATGCACTATATTATGAGAATTCATCAGAATATGGACATCAACATACCAACAAACAGGGGCCAGAAAGGTCGGCACTCTTGCGAATAAGTGTACGGAGTGATATACCATGTTTCAACGTACTGCCCTTCAATGCAAAGAATTAGTTCTGAATCAACATCCAAATTCTAGAACACGAAGCCACTTTTACTGAAACCCAATTTTTAGCAGGACTTACCTGTATAGCAAAATCCACTGGCATCCTTTGGCAATATTTGGAAGGGATGACTGCAAGAATTCATACAATTCTGGGGTAATAAATGAAGAGTCATCTGTGAGATTAGACAAAAGTTTTGTCGGAATAGATAGGTCATTTGCTTCTGCAAATACATCAGAATCACCACAACTACTCCCAGAGGCACAGTCCTTATATTCATTATCAGGACTAACTGGTTGCTTATTCTCATTTACTGGATTCCTTTTCTTATTCTCATTAACAGGACAATTTTCCTTATTCTCTCTAACCGGACTACCTGCGATACATTCTTCATATTCATCAAACTGTTCATTTTGCTGATCAAAATCTTCAATAATACGTCTAACAGGAAGGGAATGAACTGTTTTGAGATCACGTCGCTGTTTTTCAGATTTAGAACGATCAGAGCTTGCCAAAGGGACAATGAAGGAAAAGTAAGACGTGAAAGACTTCCCCTCTTTAGAGTACGATCTGACCTACACATTTATATCATGTCACAAATCAAGCACACTAATCTATACAACTAAAATTCAAAGTATAGCAGCCATTATCTTTTTCTAAAATATGCTAAAACAAGGAAAAGAGATTTAAAAGAAAAATAAAAAAAATTTTAAGGTTTATGTTTTTTGATTATATATTCTCTATCCAAAAAGAAAAGAAAACACACAGTCAGCTAAACTAAATGTCATATACTTGTTAAGCAAAAGCCTTTTCTAGGATAATGATTATACATGCATACCGCACTGTTCATATATACGCATACATATGATGAGTTTCGATCATATTCCATGCAAAAACAACCAAAAACAATGCTTACAATAAAAGTCAAATAACTAAATATTATTTATGATTGAATATTTTACTTGAATGAGACACAAACTTCCAACCATGAATTTATTAAAATCCACAATTTAATATTTAAATTCAAACAGAAAATTCGTGAGTCAACAACTCTCTAAACCCTTGAATTAAAATAGATGAACAGTTATTTACTTGAATAAATTTTAAGTCACCAGAAACAAATGATTTTCTGTATATTAATATACGTTACATGCATAGCGAAAAATCAGTACTAATTATATATACACATTTTCTCCTCTTTTTTTGATATAGTTTCTTAATTGCTTAATAGAAACAAACAGAGATAACATATCATATCAGGCAGCTGTTATATAATTTCATAGACAATTCAAAAGCAAAAAAGCAAAAAAATAACGCCTTCTTCCGAAATCAAATCACGCTATGGTCTTAAATTAGATTCCAACAATGCAATATAATTAAATTTCACAACACAACATTAGCTTAAAAGTCACTAGTAAAATCACAACCTAAACATAATCAAGTCATCTTTTCAACTACATTGTCCAAAACAACACGATCTAAATTCGTAAAACAAAAAACAGCATTACCTGAGGATCTTGAAGCGGAGAATGATGATGAGGCGAATCAGCGAAGAGACGAGAAAGCTTCTCCGTTACTTTTTCTTTCAATGTATACATATTTCTTTCTTCTTCTGGTGGGATTGATTTCATGAGAAGTGAAATTAAGGATTTTGATTTGCTTTAAATTTTAATAATAGGTTTTATAGAATGGTGATTGTGACAGGGAGAAAGAGGTGGTTAGTCGGTGGAAGGGAGAAAGAAAGGAGTGGACAAAAAGAGTAAGTAACGGAGTGAGTGGAAAGTTAGGTTTGGAAAGACTAACGGAAACGGAACCCGTTAATTATGTATGTCTGATTGGTTGTTAGCTGTTTTTCTTCTCCTTTTAAACCTTGGACCGACCGATGAATTTTAAATTTATTATTTAATATATAAATATTTTAACTACAGTATATAAAAAGATTTGTTCTGGTTAATTGAATAATATATTATTTAAGTACGAATATTTGGTTGGGAGGGAGGTGGGATATTTCCCAAAAAGCAAGGCCTTCATTTATATTTCAATCTTTTCATTCTCCTAAGTACAAAAAGAATAAATGAGAAGAAACAAATAAGAAGTTTTATGGATATATGTTTGATTGTAATGTTCTTTAAATCAATTTTTTACATACTTTTGTAAAATCAGGAAAAAAAATAAGTGTTTCCTTTTCCTATTTTTTTAATTATATCAAATATGATTTAACTAAATGGACCCTTATAATTAATTACAAAAGCAAATTGAGAAATAATACAAGGAATTCAAATTGAAGTGTCAAGTGTGAAAATTGTAAATCATTGTTAGGTAGCCCAGCAGTCAATTAGGACTTTTGAGTGTATTGTTCAAGAGGTCCTGAGTTCGATTCACTTGAGTTACTAATATGAGTTGTCAATGAGTGGATTTATTCGACTGTCAACTTCAGGGACCCGAAGGTTCCAGACACCTTGATCACAAAAGTAAATAAATAAATAAAGTGTGGTAGTCATGTGATATGATGGAGAGTAAAGAGGTGAAAAGGAGTCTGTAGTTGGCCCCAAATCTCGTTTAGGAAATAGTTATCTCAAAAATAGGTTAATTTTGGCTTAAAAACATTTTTTAGGTTCTGGAAACTAACATTGTCACCCGTACTATTAGTTTCCGTTCGTTGATGCCGTGTGCGTGTGGTTGATCGATTTTGACCACTGAAATCCTAGTTTTACCCTTACAAAATTATTATACACTAATTAATTTAGTAAAGTTAGTATAACTAAAATAATTTATTTAAATTTAGTATAATATTTTTTTTATATATTATATAAGGTATTATAAGATTTATAAAAAAAAATTATAAATTAAAACCAATCTAAAATTATACAAAATAGGAAATCAAATTCATTCCACACAAAGAAAAAATAACATACAAAACTAAATAGTAAATAGTGTCCATCTGGTCTCTTATTCTTCATTTTTTTTTTAAGAGTAAACGACATTTTCCCACCCAAGGTTTGTCAAATCTACGTTCCTACCCCTGGTTTCATAAATTGCAGATTCACACGCTTAAATTAACAGATAATTGTTTAATCTAACAGTTAAAAGGGTAAGATGATCATTTCAAAGATAAAAATTTCAAAATAACCCTTTACTTCTCAAATTCACCCCACCAAAAAATTTTAAAATAACCCTTCACTTCTGTAATTCATCCCACCGGCGATTTCAGATCATTCTGACCTGTTTCTAGCGCAATCGACCCCTTCTGACATTACCATTACAATCCCCTCAACCCCCACATCAAAACCCCTAACCTCCCTGCCTGATTGAACCCCCCCCCCCCATCGCTGGTTGTCACTTTTAGTGTCAATTGGTATTTCATCTAAATTTCGGCAAGTCCCGACATAGAAAACCACCCCCAAGACCACCAATAGCATCGTCGGCCTCCCTCCACCAAAACCCCCAACATTTTTTATTGCAATTTCCCACCGATAGTTGTCGCCTCTCCCTTAGGTTTTTGCATTTTTTTGCCCCTTTCCAGCCAAAATTTGACACCTTGCCGAGGTGCAATTGGGTGAAAAATTTAGAGGTTTTGGTGAGGAGGATAAGGGGATGCTGATGGTGATGTTGGGGAGGTCTAATGGTGCTGGATTCTTGGCTTGGCCGGGATCCTCTGGGAGTTATTTGAGAGAAATTTGAGATGGAGGGGTTATTTTGAGAAAAAAAGTAACAGTGTTAATTTAAGGGTGGGAATCTGTAATTTATGAAACCAGGGGTGAGAACTTGAAAATTCGCCAAACCTTGGGTGGGAAAATGTCGGTTACTCTTTTTTTTATTTTTTGTGCCAACCAAAAATCAAAGCAATATAACCCGTCCGTCTCATAGATATCCATTCAATAACAATCAATACATATCTTGACATCCATACCCTTTTCCACACCAAAATAAATTATCCACCGAATTTTCATTTTTTTAAAAATAAATTAAAAAATCAAAATCATATCTTAACCCACAAAGCAGTAAGAACTAGGTGGCGACACTAGCCAAGGCCAAGGTTGAAGCTGCTGTGCCTGGCCTTGACCGTTGCGGCTGGCCAAGCCGCCAAGGCAAGGCTGTCAACCCTGGCCCAAGTTTGGTTCGGTCCATCAAAATTGGTTGAGGCCAGACCAAGCCAAGGCAAAGTGTTGGTCCGTCTTTTTTTGTTATTATTGACTAAAAAAAGGAGAACGATGTTATAAATTTTTATATAAAGTTAAATGACCAGAATTTGCACTTGATCTGTTGCTATAGTTAACAGCTTGAAACTAAGAATGTGGGTGGCAGATTAGTTTCTAGAACCTACCGGAAAAATTGAATTTTAGCTAAACCTGAGCCTGAGGCGTAAAAATGTAATTGACCATATGAAAACAACTCATGGATTGAAGGGACAAAGGATCCCAACCTTATGATAAATAAATTTGGTGTTTTTTAAATTGGGATTATTTTTCAATAATAATGTCAATGCATTTTTTATCTTTTTCTTTTTGAATTTGAAAAACAAATACATTACTGCCCCTAAAGTCTAAACCTATTTACATAGAAGGTTCCATTAATATATGAATTATTTTTGAAAGGTAAGTTTTCATTTCAAAGTGCTTATAAGATCTAGAATTTTTTTTTTATTTTTTTTTTTAGCTTATTTAGAATGTTAAAATTTCAAAAATATCCCTATTCAATTTTATAATTTTAACTTGATCTATTATTGTATATTAAAGCATTTTTTGGTAATTAAATATTGAAAAAATCTTTTACATTTTTCCTACCTAAATAACTATCAAAATTTTCACAAAAGCTCTACTCTAATAAACTCTTCTTCTATAAGCTCTACTTAGAGAAATCGTACCAAACATACCCTTAAATTCAGAACTTTTCCCATAAACTATTTTTGAACTTATTTATAGTGTTGAAATTTTAAAAATATCTTTATTCTATTTTATAAATTAGATTTGTTCTTATATATTAAAACCCTTTTTAGTAAATCAATATTAAAAAGCTCTTTTACATTTTCATAACCAAACAACAAACAAAATTATTGTAAAAGCTTTACTTTGATAAGTTCTTATTCCATAATCTCTACTCGATTCTCAGTAATGAAGTTAAATTAAAGAGTTTATTTTTTATTTTTATATATTTTCTTGGACATTCCAAAATCCTTTATAAAATTTATAGGCGAAGTTGAATGTAACATTTAATACCGAAGTTTTAAAACAATTTAGAATAATACGAAATCAAGACAGAAAATACACACACATATCAATCGAGTAAAGAGAAAGAAATATAGCACGATTTACCTTGGTTTACCTAATTAACAGGCTATGTCCAAGAGATTTAATATTATTGTAATACTATCTCACATCTCTCGTTACAATGAGGGTGTGTTTGGTTAGGAGTAATAGGAAATTATTGAGATAATGTCATTTTATATTACTTGATTATTCCGTTTGGTTGTTGAGTAATAAAATATTCCGATAATTTTGCAAAACCAATAATAGTTACTGTTGGTAATATAAGAGATAATTTGATTACCTCTATTTTCTTAGGTATTTTAAGATTACTTGATAATTTTATCCCTTATTAAAAAAAAATTAGGACAATAATGCCTTTTTTTAAAAAAAAATTTACAAAAATATTAATTGACAATTTTATCATTATATACAAAGTTTTAGGACATGAATACCCTTGAAATTTTAAAAAATTACCTAAGGGTGATGGCCAAATTTGGCCACCCATTGTTGACGGCAATAGAATGACACACGATCAGTCGGATTTGGCTAATTGTGCACTACTAATGCCGTTTACGACCTTTCACAGCCAGATCTCCACCGGTGGTAGTGGCAGGTCATCGGTAGTGGCTTAGGGTGGGTGGAGGTGTTTTTGTTAAGTTTTAAATTTTTTTTGTTGTTGGAGTGGTTTAGTTAAATCTGAAATGTAGGGGATTAAAAAAATTATTCAAAAAATAATATTATATTAATATTTAAAAATGAGTGAAATTTAGTAATTTATATAATATATCCACCGGTTTATTCCTCCCAACCAAACATATTAATATAACATACCTACCAATTTACTCCAACTAACTAAACACATTTCCCTAAACATTCTCAGTAATTTTCAAAGTAATCAATCTTTCCATTAATATAATAGTCCCGGTAATACAATATTCCTTGAACCAAACATACTTTGAAAGTAATTTGCCCTCTGATTTTCTGTCACTCTCATACAAAAGAAAAATACATTTATATACTACGTTTAAAAAGTAAAATCTAGTATTAGAAGAATTCATATTCATAAACCCAAACCTAATAATGAATTATTAACTTTGAGAAATTCTATAGCAGTTATTCAAGCAGGGGCCTCATCCACTGACCGGTACCCTGAATGCATCTAAGTGACCCGTTATTGTTGAAGTGATGGACAACTCCGGTAAGTTTCGCCCCAGTAGAAAGATAAATTATTAAAGCCTCTCCCTCCACCACTTGATAAAGTAGTGCTCAGCTTAGCCCAAATAATGTTCAGTTATTAATTCTTCTACACAATTATAATTTTACTTTTTTAATTAATGAAACGAATTATATAAATTAAAATTTTAAACATTTCAAGAACTGAAAAAGCCTGCTTGATTATGTAAATTTAAATTTGGGTCAGGCGTAGTGGCAACATAATAATATACTGTGCTTATTGTTGTTTTATTTTATGGTTAGAAAAACGGTGATTAATTTAGTATATATAGTTAATAGAGCTAAATTCTTCCATGATTACTTGTGTTAATTAATTCCATAAGCTATCATATTCATACAAAATCATAACTATACTTTATCAAGTCATGTGATTAGGACAATCTATTGCGTAAACTGACACTTGATAGAAGAAATCTATTTTGGACATGTAGATTCAAACAAACAAAAATCAAATTTAACATTTTATATTATGTTTTGTCATTTGGCAACCAAATCAAAACATACCTTCGAACCTTTATGTCAAAACTATTTGTAAGCAACTCGGAAGGGTTAGTCTGACGGTTTACTCTTTTTATTGTGTTATTGGGTTTAAACTTTGAATTCATTTACCACATTATGATTTACTTAGTATTTTAAATTTGTAGGATGATCAATAGACTTTGAAGATTAATTAAAATATGCATAAATTGTTTCAAACACCCTGATTAAAAAGAGGATAAAAAACTATTTTTAATTAAGGTTTTTTTTTTTTTTTTTGAGACCGTTTTGTATTAAACTTATTCGCTTCCTTCGACAGTTTAGAAAACCCTATTAATAATATCAAAAAAACCTTTACAAAATTATCTCTATCCGATGTATTAATACTTTATGAATGAAACAAATAAATGTATACTAAATAATCTCACTTGATAAAAATAAAATAAACCCTTTTACGTGGGAAGGCATTAAAACTTTTCATTTATTATAAGGGATTGTTTCTTTTGACTATAACAGCAAAAGAGAAGTGTATCAAACAAAGTTGCCGAATCAATCAATATTTTGTCAAACTTGGCTAAATCCAGCTATAAATGATTCAAGGTTTCTTCTGTGAATTTCCTCCCATACTTTCAGTTTCAAAAGCAGATATGGCAGGCTCCTCCTCTCTCTTATTAATTGCAAGAATAAATGGTAAACGAAAATTTACTACAGTTCAAACCCTAAATGTACTTGAGTCAAACTTTAGATTAATTCAATTCTCTCAATTCCTTTCTGTTCATACCCTTTAAGAGAGATAATATCTTTTTTCTTTTTTCGTAAAAATAAAATAAAATTGAATTAAACATTTTGTTTTCATTCAGTCATTCTATTGAATGTGATAAAAAAAAATAATAATAATAAAAAATGGCAAAGGAAACACTATAATAAAACAAAATTGGTTTCACTGTTTCCGTAAAAATGATTATTTTATGATATTTTATCTCTTCATTATGAATTGTCCATCGTACTATACCCTTGTAGACAGCAAAAGATGCCCTCACATCTCTGTACATCTAAGCCATCCAAAGAGAAAGTTCATTCCCAATCTCCACAACACAGAACCACAACACTTTGATTTTTTCTTTTCAAGACACTAAAAAGAGCAGAAACCAAAGCAAAAGTAAAACACACCCTACGATATTTTTTCTTTCTTCAGTTTTTAGCCAAAACCCACTTCTGAAATCTTCTCAAAATCCCTCCTTTACTCTCACAAGTTGAAATGATTTGATCCATTTTAAGTTGTTCCTCAGATGGGTTTTACCTCAAAACCTCAGCTTTTACTTGTTTTGGGCTTATTTTTCTTTGCAAATCTTGTTGAATCTGCTCCTGATTATTCTGCCTTGGTTTATAAGGGCTGTGCAAAGCAAGTTTTTCAAGATCCAACTGGAGTTTACTCTCAGGCTCTTGCAGCTCTCTTTGGTTCTTTGGTTTCACAGTCCTCTAAGGCCAAGTTTTTCAAGACCAGTTCTGTTAGTGGCCAGACCTCCATTAATGGTCTCTTTCAATGCAGAGGTGACCTGAGCAACAGTGACTGTTACAGCTGTGTGAGCAAGCTCCCAACTTTATCAGACAGGCTGTGTGGCAAAACTGTTGCTGCTAGAGTTCAACTTTTTGGGTGCTATATGCTTTATGAAGTTAATGGGTTTACTCAGGTTTCAGGGATGGAACTGTTGTACAAGACTTGTGGGGCAACAAATGTGAGGGGCAGTGGGTTTGAAGAGAGAAGAGATGCAGCTCTTCAAGTGATGGAGAATGGTGTGGTTACTGGCCATGGATTTTATACTAGTAGCTATCAATCTGTGTATTTGTTGGCTCAATGTCAAGGTGATGTGGGAGATTCAGATTGTGGTGATTGTGTGACAACTGCTGTGCAGAAAGGTCAAGTTGAGTGTGGGAGCTCTATTTCAGGCCAAATTTATCTCCATAAGTGCTTTATTAGTTATAGTTATTATCCCAATGGAGTCCCCAGGAGACAATCTTCTTCTTCTTCTTCATCATCATCCTCTTCTTCAGATTCATCAGGTAAAACTAGAGAAACTGATCTAAATGGGGCTTTTTCAGTGCAATTTTTGTTCATTGAAATTATTTGGTCTATCTCTTATGTGTTTGATTGATGTAGGGCCAGGGCCAAACACAGGAAAGACCGTGGCTATAATATTAGGAGGGGCAGCAGGAGTTGGATTTGTAGTTATTTGTTTGATGTTTGCTAGAAATTTGCTGAAGAAACATGATGGTATGCACATTTTTTCAGTTTATATTCATCTTATTATGCATTCTATTGATGAAAATTTATGTGCGTTATTGTTGCTTACATGTTTGAATCTACTATTTTCTGCAGATTATTGAGGAAATAGGTTGTTCTAAAGAGGCAGAGAGAGAGAGAGAGGGAGAGTTCTTTTTCGAGGTGGACTGTTTCTATATTTTGTTTCTTTCTTTACTGATGGGTTTTTTGTAATGCATAGAATTGATAAAGAAAAAGAGAAAAAAAGGACGGGCAAAATGTGGGGTTTTTGATGTTACATTTTGATGAAGAAGTAACATTAGGGTATCAAGTTATAAACATGAATTTTTTCACTAAGGTGAAAAGAGGATATGAGGAGAATGAATGAATGTTTGTTCATTTTGATTTTGGGCCTTTTTTTTAATCTTCAAAGCCATGTGGGTATCAATTAATTTATTTATCTTCTTTCTTTTTTTATTTTATTTTTCCCACTTCTCCAGACTGCACTTACCCATTTGCTTCATTTTCTTCACTACTTTATGCTTTTTAGAAAGTAGCAACAGCCTATCTCCTCCCATAAACACAAACTGAGATGTTGACTGAATTATTTTTTTAATTTCTACATTGACATTTAAAATTAGAATGTTTTACAGTGAATAAACTTATTCACAGAGATTGATGACCATTTAGTAATTTAACCCAAGATTGAGACTTTTGAATATGGTAAACTTTAGGACCCAGAAACTTTCACTTTACTTCTTTATCAGCAGTACTACTAACTCCTCCTGCATATCAATCTTGAAATAGAAGATTTCTTTGGGTAATAGTTGACCTTTTTTTCTGGGCCGAAGATGATTGAATCTAATAATTGAAGGATTGTTTCAACAAAATCATCCACATGGTAAAACACCTGATGAGTCTGTAAATTCTTTTCCCTTTTTACTTCAACTGGGGAAAGGGGATATTATATTTTGCTGCAGCCTACCCCAAGTTCAAATCCCAGTCAAAAGATCATACAGCTAGCTGCAATCAACAAAATTTGGCAGCAAGCTATACGAATACATTTTTGTTTTTGTGTGCTTTCACGCTCTTTGTGGGTCTCTACATTGGTCCTTTGTCGTAACAGTATGCTCTTTTACAGGAAAAAATGGGTAAAACTCTTTTTTAAAACCAGTTTGCTTATAAAGGAAGTGGTTATTAATCTTAGTGACATGGGACTATTAGGATTGTTACAATCCGTCCCTTGAAACCAGTATGCACAATGGGTCGATATAACCAATTGGTAAGATTTTATACCTTTGACATCCGCGGTGGCTCGATATACCTAGTTGGTGACATCTATGGTGGCTCGCGATACGCCATCTTATACGAGTGTCAAGCCAATGAGGTTTATCCAGATGGTGAATAAAACTCACCCTTAAAATTGGCTTGCAAGGAGCTCATTTTTTTAACTATGTGGAACTCAATTAGGAATGTTACATCTAAAAGGGATTAAATTTGAAAGGGAAATTAGTAATTAGATGAATAATATAAAAAAAAAAAAATAATAATAATAAGATATGAAAGTGAGAATCTACTCACCCATGTTCTTTCTTTCAAGTGTTTTAACAGCTACTCCCATCTCATTCATGGAACTTGATGTATTTGCATTGCAATACAAAGCTTATAAATTGTTGTTCATTCTATGATGCTAAAATTAGAACAGAACATCCCTTGAAGACAGTTTGTGTAGCAAACCGACAGATTGTACTGGCAAATCATGTGCCATGTGAAAGTCGGCCTCTCACTTTTTGTAATGAAATTTTCCTTTAATTCTTCTTTCATTTCATAATACTTGCTTTTGAAATGAAATTCTGAACGTGGACGCTCCTAAGCCTAAAACTAGAATTAATAAGTGGCTTCTTTGAAGTCCAGGCCCTATTTTAACAGGACTTAGTAATTGCTTGCAATTATGACGAAGAAAATTTTAAATTATATAATAGTACAATAATTGATTTATGGTAACTATATCACTCATCATTTAATATAAGAAATATATATATATATATATATATGATATATAATCAAATGTTGGAATCAGTTTGTACACATCTCAACTATCATCAAGGTCCATTCAACATTTCACAAACCCAAAAGAAGTCACAATGTTATTATAGTTCTTAATGCCAATATTATATTAAACACTATAGCTTTATAGATTATATCGTGGGTCTTTTTTTTTTTTTTTTTTTTTTAAGCATTAAAAGTGTTGCTTAAAAATAATTGAAAGACGCTTATAATTTTTTTTTTTTTTTTTCATATGCTTCCCTTAACAAATACTTCAACATTTTATATTAATTTAAAGTTTAAATTAATTTTTTAATAAGTGCTTTTTTCAAGAAATATTTTTAAGCTTTTTTTTTTTTCATCTCCAGAGAAACACAACATATGCCAGCAAAATTAAGAAATGCTCATCCAATGGACCAAATAATAAATAATCATAATTGAGGTAACCTTCCTTAAATAAGAGAGACAATTCTCATAAAAGAAATCCAATAATATTATTTGATATGGACATTATCAAGTCAGTTGAGTTCTTGGCTTCCACATTTAAGGATACAAATTTTTTGAAAAATAAAAATTAAAAAATCTGAGCTAAAACATAGCATTTAAGTTCAATGAGATATTATTCCCCAATATTAAACATTTAAATTATTATTTATTTAAAAAATGAAGTCCCGGTATCCTTGCAAATGGATAATATACAGTTGAAGTAACGTTCCACTTATTTTCGGGGTTTTCGAAGAACATATAGTCGTTCCCATGTGGCAAGTTTTGGATGGTGCGCTCGATACAAGAGCTTGACAGTTGTTTACAGTATTCAAATCAATCAACTTATTTTTCAGAGTTCAGACCCTCCACCAATAATCCTTCGACAGCTACTATCTCCCAGGTAGCATGTGGTCCCTTCCAGCTGTCATATAGTTATACTCTCTTATGTTCCTCTGGGCCGGGCCTTTAAACTTGGGCCCTAGTCGGCCCATTTCGACTTTATTCTTTTCCCAGTATACCCTCGTTTCAGCCCGATAGCTAATTGGCTAGTCCAGACTGGTTTGACTTGGTGGCTCTTCTCCATTTTCATGAAATATATATATTAATGGTTTGTGATTTCTTTTACAATATTATTAAAATGCAATTAAAAATGGATGGTTCTTAGGTTTTTTAAATTATTTTTCAATTTTTTTACGAAAAACTTGTATATATTAAAACCACCCAATGATATTGTATTTTAACGAAATAATAGGCAAGGTTCATGAAATTTATTCATTCTTTTAGGAAAAAAAAAAATAATAACTAAGAAGAGGTTAATTGAGACCATCACAGTCACGGTTGCGAATTTGCCAAACTGATTACGGAAATCTATGAAAATCAACAATTCACTCTTCATAATTGAGGTCAAACATCCCAAATTCACTAAGCTTCCCCAAAAATGTCTGCCACTCTTCTTACATGAAAACAGGATGTATTACTTAAGAGGTCTGAATTTGATTCCCCTTCTATTCCCCTCATTTGCTAATAGGAGTAGTCACTAGAGGGTTTATCCGATCGTTAACTTCAAGGTCTGGGGAGATTAGTCGAGATGCAAATAAACTAACCCGAACACTCCCTCGCAAAAAAGAAAAAAAAAAAAACTCTACTTCCATGAAGAGGATAATGGTGATCAATCTTGAGTAATTAAACTACCAAATATCAGCACAATTACAGCTACCATTTAAAAATCTATGGTATCTGTTAACATCTCTCACAATGATCTCCCTCTCCACCACTCTACTAATATACTTAAAACACTCATGACAGTCCCTACAAATCCTCAAATTCTTCACAATCCTCAATGGCTTCCCTGGTGGTGATCCACTCATCAACCCAAATGCCAGCGCCAGTTTCTCACTATGATACCAAAGCCCTTCTCTTTTCTCCTTTTCTTCAACATTGTGCAACATCTCATCCCAAATTGGAACATACCCTAACTTCTCACACTCTTCCATCAACTCTTCTAGCTTGGCGTAAATTTCTTTAACTCTCTCATGCCTTCTATCGCCCGCCAAGAACACATGAACTTTCCCTTTCACTTCAATCCAACTCCTCCCACCTTCCTTCTTCACTCTCCGGTCTTTCATTGTCTTCCTCACTTCTGCAACTTCATCCCACCGTCCTGCACTCGATAACACGTTAGCTGCAATTACATAAGCCGAGTCATCATAAGGGTCTATTTGCAATAACCTCTGTGCCATTTTCCGAGCCATGTCAGCTGCTCCGTGTGCAGCACAAGAAGATAACAATGCCCTCCACACTGCTGCATCGGGTTCAAATGGCATAGCCATTGCAATCCTCTCTGCATCCCCCAATCTTCCAGCTCTTCCTACTGCACGTATTAAGCAGGTGTAGTGTTCTAACCCCGGTTCTAAACCATACTCAGCTCTCATTCTCTCCAACCATTTCTCACTCTCAAAATCCAAACCTGCGTTACAAAAGGCCGTTAAAACCGCCAAAAAACTATATTCATCCGGGACAAAACCTCTCGTTTTCAATAAATGAAAAAGCTCAAGCACTGAATTTTTATCTCCTTGCTGTGCGTAACCGGCCATCATAGCATTCCACGCAACGACATTTAATTCACTCAAATTCTCATAAAACACCCTTCTTGCATCAAACACAAGCCCAGCTTTTCCTTATCCGTCAATCAAAGCGGTTCCCACAATCACATTCTTGTCTAAACCCACAACAACGGCATGCCCATGAACCACCCTGCACTGCTCCATCGCCGCCAGCTCAGCCGCCGCGCGCAATGCTCCAGACACGCTGTACATCGTGGACCCCACATCACAGCTCCTCATATCAGCAAACACTGATAAAGAATCCAAACTACGAGAGTTCTGCGCAAAACACACGATCATTGCCGAGTAACAGACCTCGTCTCTGTTTTGAATTTCGTCGAACACCTGTCTGGCATTGTCCGGGGAGCGAAAGCGAGAGTAGAAGTTAACCAGAGCGGAGCCACAGAAGGGCTTGTTTTGGAGGGAGAGTTTGAGAGAAAGAGTGTGGAGGGAGAGGCCGAAGGAGAAAGCGTGAGAGAGAGAGGCGCAGGTTTTGAAGAGGGAGGCTAAGGTGCGCTGGTTGGGGAGAGTGGGGTGGCGGAGCATGGAGAGGAAGAAGCGGAGAGAGAGAGGAGAGTTGGAGTGGGAAGAGATCAAGGCCGTCCATGAGACGACGTTGGGTGATGGGATTTGGTGGAAGAGACGGAGGGAGTAAGAGAGAAGATTAAGGTTTGATTTGGAGTAGAGAGTGATGAGGTTGTTGTAGGAGGAACGGTCTGTGTGGGTGGATTTTAGAACTCTTGCGTGGAGGATTCTTGGATCAGTGTTGGGTTGGTCTAATGGCTGGTTCATGTTCGAGAGACGGTTGAGAGGTCCCCTGCTATGGTGATTCACTGCGCCAGGAAGGTTAGCTGTGCTGCTCAAGGCCCGCTCCATTGCTATCTACCTGTTAAATTCACAATCATGTTTTTATACAAATTTATTTGTATCTTTTAGATCAACTCAAACATGGAATGGCATACCGAGCTAGCTCAACTCAAATGTATTGCTAATTGATGAAATATGGAATGCTAAAGATATTCGGAATCAATCAATTATTGATTTGCGTTTATTTGATTCATTATCTAATATTTTGTAATTAAGTCCTTATTATATTTCATTTATTGTATTATTTCATTGTCTTTATTATATTCAAAACCACTATATAAATTGACTGATATACTCATTACAATACATAAAATATATACGAAATACAGTCTTCTATTCTCTCTGTTTTCTTGACATTCTTCAACACTGTTTCTGCTACTCTGTCAAGCTTCCCTCTATTGGCATTCTTCGACAATCCTCTGCCTTTTTTGCCTTCCTTCTAGCCTAAACTCTGACATGGTATCAAAGCATTTCTTTACTTTTGCCAAAATCCTTTCTAAGCCATTGTTTTTTTGAATCTATAAAACAAGGCAGTAGGATTAGATTATCTTTCCCAAACATCACTAATAGCCAACAATGGAGCCAACCAAAACACCCATAGCACCAGACTTAGAGTCCGCAACCACAAATGGGTCACCAAACACAAACCTAAGTGGCCAAACTAGCCCAACTCATCCAACAGGCCCAAACAATCAAACTAACCCAACGGGCCCAAACACCCAAACTGTTCCAACCTATCAAACAGGCCCTAACTACCAACTCGGATCCAACTTCCAAACCGGCCCAATTCCATTCGGGTTTATGGGTCAAAACCCTAACCCAACGGATCAAAATCCCTACCAAGTTTTCCAGATTCTTCTTGCCACCAACGGTTGATCGCAACCAAGGGATGCCTTTTTTCGCCGGTTTTCGACGGATCTGAGTTTGTGCTCGTGAAACAACCCCTGGCCGGATCTCAAAATTACGCCACCTAGCCAAAGACTTTCGGCGAGCCCTGGTAACCAAAAATAAGGAAGGGTTCATCGATGGAACCCTTCCTCAACCTACTGAACCACACCTTTCTCAACATTGGACTCAGTGTAATACCTTTGTTCGTGCCTAGATTAGCAACTCCTTGACCTAAGAGATTGTTGCCGGCTTGCCTCAAACTGAAAAATGCCCAAGAGATGTGGATGAACATCCGAGGGATGTATGGTCAATTAGATCTCGCAAAAACCCTTACTTTGCGTAAAAACCTTATTGAGATCAATCAACACAACCTGCCGAGCATTGCTTATTTCAATCACATTTCGGCGATTTGGAACCAACTTGATTATGTTGAAGAACCGTTTGAAGGGCCATCCACGATTCTTCAACAGATCAAGCGTGTTAAAGATCAAAACAAGTTAATTCATTTTTTGATTGGTTTGAATAACAATTTTTTGGCATTTCGGACGTAAATGTTGGCCACATCGCCGTTGCCATCTCTCCGGTGCACCTACCAGTTGGTGGTGCAAGACGAAAGCTAGAGATTAGCTTCGTCTGACTCTCAATCAAGTGCTGAGTTTGCTGCCTTCTCTATCACCCAATAGTGCCGGCAGTTTGGACCAACGAAGACAAAGAATGGCTATTGCAAAGGGGGGCTAGGGCAACCTGAAGTAGAAAGATTTATTTTATATGGAGGAGTGAACGGCCCCGATCGAAACCCCTCATCCAACGACTCAAAGTCAAATGGGATATATGGGCTAAATAATAACTTGGGCTCAAGTTTTGTTATTGGCCCAAATTCGGCAAATGACCCAGCTTCTTCCAACAATTTTAATTCATCTCATGGGCCATCCCAAGTCCAACAAAAATCGCTACTGTGATTATTGCAAAAGAAGAAACCACACAAGGGACACATGTTGGAAATTACACAGTCGCCCTCAAAACCAACGGTCTAGATCCACCACTGCCAATCAATTAAGTCAACTTGTTACTTCTGGAAATAGTACTACGACCCCTATGTTTAGCCAAGAATAGTATCACCAGATCTTGCAGATGCTGAACCAAGCTCCACAGGCCAATACAACGTCCTACGCAGTTATATCGTTTTGTTCCAATATTATTAAAGAAAATATTTGGATAATTGATTCAGGGGCTAGTGACCATATTGTTTGTAATCCAAAACACTTCTCCCACGCATCCACCATATCCTACACCTCGGTCTGTATGCCTAATGGTACACATGCACCAACCACTCAATTAGGGACTGTTCATCTCAACAAACACTTGGTTCTTCATAATGCCTTGTTTGTTCCCGCTTTCCGTCTCAACCTTATATCTGTTTCTAAACTATGTTAAGATAATGTCTGTGTTTTAAAATTCTTTCCTAACAAATGTGAGTTTTAGGACCGTTTGACTGGGAATCTGATGGGTTCGGGTAAAGTACACCATGGTCTTTATTATTGGATAGGTGACTCTGATGCTAAAAACTCCATGTCTTATGCTTCTGATAATAAAAATTTTGTTTGTAATACAAACATTAATACAACTCTTTTTATTTTGCATCAACGCATGGGTCATAGTGCCTCTATTCCTTAACCCAATTGTCCTGTTGTCTTATTGCAAAACAGTCCCACACAACATCTCCCCAACACACACCCTTCACCACATGCATTTTTTCCTTAGTTCATATGAACATATGGGGTCCATATCACACAACCAATCACGATGGCTTAAATTTTTTCTAACCATCATTGATGATTACTCTTAAGGAACCTGGGTTTACCTCATGCAATCTAAAATACAGACACTCACTCACATTAGACATTTTTTGTCCATGGTCAAAATCCAGTTTGATCTTTCAGTTCAACGAATTCGAACTGATAATGCTAGAGATTTTTTTAACACTCAATGTTCGACCATGTTTTCTTCTCTTGGTATCATCCATGAGACCTCCTGTGTCTATACACCTCAACAAAATGACATAGTTGAACGAAAAAATCGACATCTCCTAGAGGTCGCCCATGTCCTAAAACACCAAGCCAACATCTTTATCACCCTTTGGGGCGAATGTGTGGTCACGGCCACCTACCTCATCAATTGGATGCCGAGTCAAGCTCTACATGGTAAGACACCCTATGAGCTTCTTTTTGGTAAATCGCCTACAGTTGATCATCTTCAAGTGTTTGGGTGTTTATGTTTTTCTACAAATTTAGGGGGACATGATAAATTTTCTCCTCGGGCCACTCAATGTGTTTTTATAGGTTACCCAATGCATCAGGGTTATCGACTATATGATCTAATCTAAAAAAAATTCCTGGTTTCTAGAGATGTGGTTTTTCATGAAGACTCTTTTCTATTTTTAGACACGCCCACTTCTGATAATTCCTTGCAGTCTTGATCTGTTTTGGAAGATCCTTCAGAGGATGCTTTATCAAGACCTTATTATACCATGCATCCCATCCATGATATGGGACCCTCTATGTCCGTCTCAAAACCATTTCCCACTTCTCCTAATTCTTCTCCAGAGAAACAACATACTAGTCTGCCACTACCTTTGGATAATACTCCTATAGTCCCTATGCCCTCTCAGAGACGATCCACAAGGGCCATTCGCCCACCTATTTGGATAGAAGATTATGTCTATCCCACCATTCAAACTACCATATGTACTTCTTATTCCACTTCCAACTATATTACTTATGACAGACTGTCCCCTGCCCACAGGATCTGTGTCAGTCAGATTTCTGCCCAACAAGAGCCTTCTTGCTATTCTGATGCTATTCCCCATGCACATTGCCACATTGGTGCCAAGCCATGGCCGATGAACTCAGTGCTCTTTCTCATAATCATACTTAGGATCTTGATCCATGTCCTCCTCATAGGAAGCCCACTGGTTGTAAATGGGTTTACAAGATCAAGCATCGTGGCGATGGTTCAATAGAACGATACAAAGCCCGTCTCATTACCAAAGGCTTCACTCAACGAAAATGGTTTGATTACCATGACACTTTTCCCCGGTGGCCAAGCAAGTTACTGTTCGGGCTTTTTTATCTGTTGTTGCCATACGTGACTGGACTCTTCATCAGATTGACGTTCATAATGCCTTCCTTCATGGGGATCTTCATGCAGAAATCTACATGGATCTTTCTCTCAGACTACGTAGGCAAGGGGAGAATCTAGTATGTTGTATACGCAAGTCCTTGTATGGTTTGAAACAAGCATCCCACCAATGGAATGCAAAATTCACAGAGGCTCTAATGAACACGGGCTTCACTTAGTCCAACCATGACTACTCTCTCTTCACATGGCACAAAAGTACCAAATTCATTGCTCTTATTATTTATGTTGATGATATCCTAATTACTGAAAACAATGAGGATGTGTAACACTCATATGGAGGTACGTAATTTAATTTATGCTCTTATACATTTAGTTGATTTTTTTGCTAAAATTATTTTGAGAAAATGTGAAGAAAATGCCTTAAACTTGCATTAAGGGTAAAATGGTATTTTCACTCAAAATTAGTTGAAATTGTGGGGAGTGAAAAGAGATAGAATTTCATGGAGAATGCAATAAAAATGAGGGCATTATGGTAATTGATTAAGGGACATAGATGGAATTTTAAAGAAAATACAAGGGCAAAATGAGAAACTATATATAATTTTATGTTATATCAAGGATTGAAGAGTTCAACCCTAGCCACTCTTCAACCCATTTTCACGCCACCTTCTCCTCCAAATCCTCTCAATTTCTTCACTTTTTTTTCAAAGAAATTTATAGATTTTGGGTATTTTTGAGTGGATTTTCAATCCCAAGCATCTTTAGGTAAGATCCTTGCACTAAGAAGTGATTTTTCATTTTTAAAGTGTTGAATTTTGATGGTTTGTGCTCATAGAATTTAAGAGGAAGAGAGTTTGATCAAAGAAGATTCTTAAAGGGTTGGATTGCTCATATCAAAGGTAAGTAAATCCTACCC